TGCTGCTGCCCTGATCTGGTTTGAAACACTTCCCTCCTATCTGATTTCGCACTTCCACTCTCATCTCCCTGTATTATTTTCACACACAGCATCAAAAAGAAGCTTAGTAAACATTTTCCAAAGGCTCTCCCTTTCATTCAGCAAAGGCAAAAAGCCCTAAGAGATCCTGCATTATAGGGCCCCCTGATAGCTCTAGAACCTCGTCTCCTGCTATTTCCCCTGACTTTCATTCCACTCTAGATCTACCAGCCCCCTTGCTGTTCCTTGAACATACCAGGCACACACCTTCTAAGGGCCTTTGCTCTGGCTGCTTCTTAATGCGTAGATTTCCCAAGACAGCATATGGCCAGCCCTTTCCTCCTTAAGGTCTTTATTCAAATACCACTGGCTCAGTGAGCCATTATTTAAAACTTGCAACCTTTTGGCGGGGACACACACACACACACACACACACACACACACTTGTAATAATCTGAACAATAAAGATTAAAAAAAAAAAATGCCAAAACCGGTTTGGCTCAGTAGATAGAGCATCGGTTTGGGGACTGAAGGGTCCTGGATTCGATTCCCGTCAAGGGCATGTACCTTGGTTGCGGGCATATCCCCAGTAGGGGGTGTATAAGAGGCAGCTGATCGATGACTCTCTCTCATCGATGTTTCTAACTCTTTATCTCTCTCCCTTCCTCTCTGTACAAAATCAATAAAATATATTTAATAAATAAATAAAAATAAATAAAAAAATTTTAAAAACTTGCAACCTACCCCTCAATCTCCATAGCACTCAACCACCTCTAACATGCCATACAATGTGGTACTTGTTAGGTTAATTGGTGTTTATCTGACTGCTAGAATTGAAAATCCACAAGAGTAAAGATTGTTTTGTTACTGGCACATAGTTAACACTCAGTACATATTTGTTGAATTATATGAATAAATGCTCCTCCCAATGTTAAGCTGAGATGTTACTATTCCACAATAAAAAAATTTTTAAAAAGCCAGTATCTGAGAATTACTACTCGCAGGATCTATAGACAAAAGGAAGAATTAAGAGGTGTCAGTTAATAGAAAATAGTTGTCAAAAGCCTTCAGCGCAAGGAAAACCCATCTGCAAGGGTTTCCTCTCACCATGCAGAGTAGAGCTCACATATTTGTCCTGCATTTAGATCTCTCCGAGTTCAGGGAACTGTATCTACTCTTATGTTTTAGAATCTATTTGCCTATAAAACTGTGTTCCTTTGTGGGTTTCAGATTACACTGTGTTCTCTCACTGGGTGTCTTTGCCAAGCTGAAGCTTCAATTGTGTTTGTTCTTTTGCATCGTTTTTATTGTTTTTAACACTTTAAAGAGTTTATTTCTTGAATCATAGTGAGCAGAATGTCTAACAGACACCACAGAAGGACATACCATGGCTTGCTTGATGAGGGAAAAGCCTCCTTTTCTTATTTCCAAGGTCCTTTCTGCTGATGTTCAATGTTTAATTGACGCTGTTGCCTACACAGCATACTTGCAACACAAGCATGTAACCTCACTGATTACTGAATGCATTCATACCTTAGTATTTGAACATCCATTATTGCTGGCTTTTCTCTTATTCTTCATTCATTTTCACCCTCTGTGTTCTCATCTGTACCTCAAAGGTTTCCTTTTCCCAAGAGTGACCTGGTTCACTTTCCTATTGGCAGTAAGGGAGTGTATCTTCCCAGTACTTGATCCATTAGCTTATATAATACATTTCATTGCTATCAAATGAGTCACTTTACATGTCTGCATGTTGTGATTGTTTCTTTAGAAATGTAGACACTGTGGTAGATTTCTTTGGTTTGGGTTTCCCTCTCCAACCAGAATATTGGTCTCAGTGCTGGGATTACATGTCCTGGTTCCCAGCCCTTCTCTGGGTATTTGTTGGACACCTCACAGTTTCGATGCCTTTCCTTGTATATACTGTAGCCCTGAGTTTCTTGCTGTGCTCCCAGTTTGAATAAGTGCTTTCCACTTGTGTCCTGTGGTTTGAACCTGGTCTAATTCTTCCAAACATTTAAAGTCCTTAGCTTCTTCAGTTGGGCACTGGCTGTATACTCAGGAGTAGCTTATGTTTTTTGGGTTGCCCAGAGCAGCTGTGGGCTTACAGGCTTAGAACCCTGCATAAACCAGGATGTAGATGGCCCAGCTTACATCCATTCCTCTGCATCAGTCTTGGAAATTCTCACCAAGCTTATCCTGTATATTTCTGAGCACTTTCTTATCAACTCTAGGAGGATTCTAATGGATTTTTTTAGTCTTGAAGTACCATGGCGATCTCCAGGCCCCAAATCATTCCCTTTGGTGGCAGATTAATGAGGGCAGCCTGAAAAGGGGAGTATGTGTATCTGAATATTCTTTCTTCATTTCCTGTCTAGGCATCTCCTCTCAGGTGGAGGTTACATGTGTGCCTGCTCCCACAAGCACAGTGTCTTCCATCGGTAACACAAATGGAGAAGAGGTAGGACCTTCTGTCTACCTGGAAAGGCTGAAAATCCTCCGACAGCGATGTGGCCTGGACAATACAAAGGTACTGCTCCTTTCCTTCTATGTGGGCCAGGGAGATGGTGTCAGGCAGGGCAGGAACAGGTTTTCCCAGGGAAGCGACTCAGTCTTGGTATATGATGTTCCAGGGCCACCTCTTGCCCTTAGACAATGACTCTTCTTCTCTCGACAGCAAGATGACCGACCTCCATTGACCTCGTTGCTCTCTAAACCAGCCATCCCTACCGTTGCCTCTTCCACAGACATGCTGCACAGCAAACTCTCTCAGCTCCGGGAGTCCCGGGAGCAGCACCAGCATTCAGACCTGGATTCTAACCAGTCTCACTCTTCAGGAAACATGACCACATCCTCCTCCTCCTCCACAGCTAACATTGATGACTTGAAAAAAAGACTGGAAAGAATAAAGAGCAGTCGCAAATGAAGCTGTCCCCCTCCTGGCACCCTGCAGCTTTAGTTTACTAAACTAGAGTCCTCATAGTTTACAGTGGCCTTGGCGGGCCCAGTGTACACGAACCGGTTGTTTGGATCAGCCGTGGGTCTGGGGAGGAGTCGTGGCACAAGTATCTGTACATACTCTGCTTCTCCATCAGCACCTGCCTCTCCAGAGGACTATGTATTAGTTTAGTGTACAGACCTGTAAACAGCTGCCTCCACTCAGCTCAGACTACTTTCCATAGCCTTTTTCTTTTTAATTGTTCATTTGTAAAGTTGTCCTAATCTTTCCTAGCTTTTAACTTTTAGGAATTCTTTAATAGTTTCCCTTTGAGTTTGTGAGCTCTTCTTCCTGTAGCCCTGAAGGGTTACTGTATTCTGTATGAATGCATGGCATGATACAACTAATTTAAAAGTCTTTTATAAATAAAGTTTGCATTAACTATACCTGCTCCCAAGATGCTCCATATTCTCACCTGGTCTAGAGCCCAGGTGGACATTCAGCCAGTTAGAGAAAGATTGGAACGACTTGCCTAAGGAGCACACCTTTCCTTGGCTCCCAGACGAGGCACTGCCTTTTGCTCTAGCAGAACAGGAAAAACTCGCCTTTCCTGCTTTCCACAAGCAGCTCCTAGGGAAGCAAAGGAATCTCATTCTCTCTTTGAGGCTTGTGTAGGGTTCCCTCCCATCATCACCATGGTTCCCAGGAATTTGTAGGCTTCCTGCCACTTTGCTGCCCAAATGCACGTGAGATTGTGCCCAGAGATTGGCTGGGCTACCTGGTTGTCACATGGCATCTGAATTCAGGTCATTAGACTAAAGGATATGGGAGAGCTTAGGAGCTTCCTGCCCAGTTGGAGTTTCTCTGAGTGTAAGTCTACACTAACAGTTGCTTCCCTCTCAGTTGGAGTGAAGACCACACAGTGAACTGAGGAGTCAGCTCTGAAATAAACTTCACAGGGCTCCTCCATAGTCAGAAAAACTCGTAAGTGCTAACAAGTTTTAAATTCAGATGGGAGACTTTTTGGCCAGTCATCAAGTTCAAAGGAACTTTTCTAGACTATCTTTTACTCAACTGGTATTCAAAAAAATGAAGGTTGGTGGGGATCCTCTTTATTCCAGTCATGATATTCAGGTAGCCCCTTCACTGCCTGAAATGAAACTTGCCCCTCTCTCTCAGGTTTGCTAAAGGGAAGATGGAGGATGCTCTAGTAGAAGGACATATTTAGAAAGAAAGGCTGTGCTTGGGTCTGGAATTAGCATGGCTAATTTGAAAAACCAAATGGTGCAGAGCTCACAGTACTGACAGCTACACTGAAAAGGGAACAGTCTTGTGAGAATGTGCACCCTTATTTTAAAAAGCAGGTTTGGAGTATTATAATTCATATATATTGATTTCAGAGAGAAAGGGAAAGGGAGATAGAAACATCAATTATGAGAATCATTGATTGGCTGCCTCCTGCACGCCCCCTACTGGGGATTGAGCCTGCATTGCAGGCATGTGCCCTTGACCGGAACCTAACCTGGGACCTTTCAGTCTGCAGGCTGACAGTATCTCCACTGAGCCAAACTGGCTAGGGCTGGAAAACTGTAATTCTTAATCCCTTCTTCCTGCTCTGGTTACAGTTCTGGGCTGGGAAGATCCTGCTCAGGGATGGTCCTTCTCAACACAGTACTCTAGATAGTTAACAACTGGTTAGCATTTCACACTGGCGAAACTCACTGCCATACCTGTCTAGGCTATAGTGCCTAGTTCCCCCTCAGCAATACATGAACGCAACAGGAACAGCAATATGTACAACAGATCAAATGAACTGAAAATAAGTAAGGGTATAGATGACTTAAATGACAAGTAAAAAGGTACATTTATGAATATATTTCCCCTCTCACCTTATCTGGTAGTGTCCATGAACAGCACTGGGAGCATTGAGGCTCATAGAGTCACTTTTATTGAGAACTAAAGTTTTAGGAACAAACCACAAAAATAATTCTTTCCTTGGATTGGTTTCTGTGATCAGTGAGGAGCCTAGAATGTGGCTGGTTCCCTAACTTCCAGACCGATCAATGACCTTCTGTATCCACTTCTTCAGGCGGAACACATGTGTGTAGAAGCCATATTTTCCATTCCTGTCACAGCCTTCACCCCACGAGACGATGCCCATTTGATACCAGCGGTGGTTAAAGGGGCTCTAAGGAAGAAACATGAGGTTTTCAATTGTCAAGGCCAAGGTGGTGTCAGCATTACCCCATCAGGTAACTATTTCTGAACTCTGGGGCCCCTCCTTACCCACCTCACCAGGAGATCTACCCACCAGGCCTTTAGGGAAGCTAGCTTACCTTCATGACAAAGGGTCCCCCACTGTCACCTTCACAAGAATCCCCTCGTTTCCCTTCATCGGGCTTGTAACCTTGAGAGAGAACAGTAATACTCAGGAGCATAGCTCATACTCTAGAGACATACCAGATGAGTGTCCACTTGACCTCTTCTCATCATCCTTGTCTCTTCTCATTTCCTCACCCCAAACCAACTCTTGTACAAATCTTGTCAGCGATTTCCTCAGTATATCCACTATATCCCAAACCCAACCACTTCTACCGTGGTCACATCACATAAACCTCTAACCCAGAACTAATTCTGTTTTTTCCCACCTACAGTCAACTTCCCATTCAATAGGTAGGACTTAAAAAATACGTTAGACTTACAGGTAGCTGAGGACAATGGTGGTGCTGCCTTTATCCAAACCTCCCCACATAACCTCCACAAACCATGTGGAACAACAGAAGCTACACAAAACCACACCTCGCCCTAGACAGTTTGGCTCATTGGATAGAGCCGTGGTCGGCAAACTGCAGCTCGCGAGCCACATGCAGCTCTTTGGGCCCTTGAGTGTGGCTCTTCCACAAAATACAACTGCCTGGGCAAGTCGATTTTGAAGAAGTGGCGTTAGAAGAAGTTTAAGTTTAAAAAATTTGGCTTTCAAAAGAATTTTCAATCGTTGTACTGTTGATATTTGCCTCTGTTGACTAATGAGTTTGCCGACCACTGCAATAGAGCATTGGCTTGCAGACTGAAGGGTCCCAGGTTTGATTCCCGTCAAGGACACCTGCCCGGGTTTCAGCCTTGATCCCCTGTGGGGGTGTGCAAGAGGCAGCCAATCTATGATTCCCTCTCATCAATGTTTCTATCTTTCCTTCCTTCCTCTCTCAAATCAATAAAATATAAAACAAAACAGAAACACAACTCCAGCATAAGTATAATACAGATAACACCCAAACTTCAAATCAACCCTAGTATATCTAATTGTGCATCTAATAATAAATTATGTGGAGATGAGGATGGGATACAAAAGTGAGTGCAATTGACATATAAACTCAATTGAAATGTAAACCCTTGTAAATAACCCCAGATCTACACAATGAATAAAACTAAACAGATCTATTCAAAGATACTATAGGAATAAGGACTAAAACACCTCAGCTAATAAAAACCCTCCCCCATGAAACAAAACTAACTGAATTAAATTTTCTCAAGCAAATTTTTGGAATGTGACAAAACACCTTGAGTCAGAAGTTCAAAAATTAAAAATAAGTGGACAGCCCTGGCTGGTTTGGCTCAGTGGATAGAGTGTCAACTGTGGGATGAAGGGTCTCAGATTCAATTCTAGTCAAGGGCACAGACCTTGGTTGCAGGATTGATCAGCCCTGGTTTGGTTGCTAGTGGGAGGCAACCAATTGATGTCTCTCTCAACTCTGTTTCTCTTTCCCCCTCCCTTCCATTCTCTAAAAATCAATGAAAAAATATTCTTAGGTAAGGATTAACAAAAATGGACAAATCATATAGAAAAATGCAAAGCAAAAAAGTAATTGAAATGGAACTCAGACCAAAGAAGAAATTTGAGTCCCTTGGGAACTAAATAATAAAAAAGAACTGGTATTTACAATATCAAAACAAAACTGCACAAAAATAAGAGAAGATTGAATGTACATATTGAAAGGTCCACTAAGCACCGGGCAACACTGGCTTGAAACACTCAACTCTGAAGAAAAACCCTCAAGGCCTCCAAGCAAAACGACCAGATATCGTGCCAGGTCCAAAGAATCATACCGACATCAGTCTTTTCAAAGACTACATACAAAGCAAACAAAAAAGCCATTATTTTCAAAAAATTCAAGGAAGGGAAAGGTGAATCACAGATTTTATATGCCACCACGCTGATTGTCAGGTGTCAAGGCTACAGAAAAACAATTATATTAAGAGCTCAGGAAGTTCTATGCTCAAAACCCTTCTTGAAGAATCTACTAGCAGATGAGCTTCATCCAACCAAGAGATTAATGCTCCAGCAAAAGGAACAATGTTCTGACAAGTAGAAAAAAATGCAGCTCAAAATGAAAAGAAGAGAAAGGATAGGAAACTCACTGTTAGTAGCCAGTGGGTGGGTGTTATGATTAAAAAGATATAAAGCAAGCCGGTTTGGCTCAGTGGATAGAGCTTTGGCCTGTGGATTGGGGTTCCAGGTTCGATTCCGATCAAGGGAACCTGCCCAGGTTGTAGGCTTGATGCTTGGGTTGTGGGCTCGATCCCCAGTAAGGGACATGGGAGGCATGCAGGAGACAACCGATAAATGATTCTCATTGATGTTTCTTTCCCTCTCCCTTTCTCTCTGAAATCAATAAAAACATATTAAAAAATAAAATAAATGGCATTCTTAAAAAAAGGAAAGGAACTAAGGGTATTTCAAAAATATAAGTCCAAAGATGATCAGTAGAACAAAAATGTAAACATTCCTAAACATACATTTTCTTAAAAGATCACATAGGAAGCCAAAACCGGTTTGGCTCAGTGGATAGAGCGTCAGCCTGCGGACTGAAGGGTCCCGGGTTCGATTCCGGTTGGGGGCACGTACTTTGGTTGCGGGCACATCCCCAGGTGGGGTGTGTGCAAGAGGCAGCTGATCAATGATTCTCATCGATGTTTCTAGCTCCCTATCCCTCCCTCTTCCTCTTTGTAAAAAATCAATAAAATAAAATAAAAAAGATCACATAGGGGAAAACAGTAAATAGAGCATAATACATGTAAATATTATAAAATAATGAAGTAATGCTAATTCAGTCATATATATATATATATATATATATATATATATGATTGTGCTTAAGTCAGTTATTACAAAACAAGCTTTAATTTGACTCATAGCAAGACAACTATGCTATATGTAACAAATGATTCATAAAGGCTAAAATTAAAGAGATGGACAAAGGTATAGCAGGCCAATGAAAACAAAAAGAACAGGGATAGTAATCCTAATATTGAAAATAAAAGCCATAATGTACAATGAATAAATAACAATTAGGAATATCTGCACAAAGCACAGCAACCACATTTATAAAGTAAAAAAAAAACTATAAGCAATGCAAGGAGACAAATACATCTATAATATTATTTAACACATCAAAATCAGTATAAGATCAAATGAACTAAAAATAAATAAGGATTTAAATGATCTAAGTAACAATAAGGTACATTTATGAATATGTATCAAACATCTGAATAAAAAACACACCTCAATCGTACATGAAACATTCACAATCCAACAGCTCTGTCTCAAAAAAAAAAAAATCAGTTCCATAAGATAGGAATATTACAAACAATATTCTCATAATGTAGCAAAACAAAATTATTAACAAAGTGAAAATACAAAAGGCCCCTCCCATTTGGAATTTTTAAAAACACCTATTATACACCTCTTGGGTGAAAGAAAAATACACACTGAAATTAGAATAATTTATTATTCTAAAAAAGACACTAAATAGTGTTTTCTATAAAGAAGAAAAATATACAGTCCTACTCAATGAAAATTAAAGATCAAAAGTAAATTAACCAGCCTGGCTAGTGTGGTTCAGTGGTTGAGCATAAAACTATGAACCAGGAGGCCAGGGCACATGCCTGGGTTTCAGGCTCAATCCCTGGTTGGGGGTATGCAGGAGGCAGCCAACCAATTAGTCTCTCATCATTGCATTGATGTTTCTATATCTCTTCCTCTCCCTTCCTCTCTGAAACCAATAAAGATATTTTTTAAATAAATTAACCAAATTGTCAACTCAAAAAACTCAAAAGAGAAAAAATAAACAAAAAGCTTAAGAAAATTTTTGAAAAGGTAAAAGCAAAAACTAAAGAGGTATATAATTGAAAAACAAGCCTAATAAGTCCAATTCCTAGATACCTTTTGTTTTTTTTCTGCAACCACAAATATGTAAAATAAGGAGTCAAAGAGAAAAAGTCCTAATACCCTGCATCAGTATAAAAAAGCACAGTATAGACCTGATAATGGGGGAACATTTCTTGTCTTTGGATAAAATGATTCAACAACAAAAAGATGTCAGTTCTTCCTAAATTCTTTTATAAATGTAACATAATCCCAATAAAACACAAACAAACCTTTTTATGAAGCTTGACAGGTTGATACCAAAGTTCAGAAGGAAAAACAAATATGTAAGAATTTCCAGGAAAACTCTGGAAAAGATAAACTTTGACAGACAATAAGCCCTACCAGATGTGAAAACGTACTCTAACGCCTCTATGAAACAATGAACAAAGATCCAAATTGAATGTCTTCAAATAGAAACAGACTTAAGCACATAGAAATCTAGCATGTGACAAAAGTTATTTCAAAGATACAATTTTTAATAAATGGTGTGGACAGCTGGTGAACCATTTGGGAAAGGATAAATTCGATCCATAGCTTACATCACACACAAGCATAAAGTCCAAATGACTCAGATCTAAGTGTAGAAAAATGAAACCAAGCACTACAAGAAAACATGGGAATTTCTCTACAACTGAGAAGGTTTTTTCCTAACTTTGTAAAGAAATTTGACTTCATAAAAATTTTAATTGAGTGGCAAAAAGTTATAAAGGTTAAAAAACTAACAAAGTGGGCCTGGTTGGATGGCTCAGTTGGTTGGAGGATAGTCCCCAGGAGGCAACTGACAGTGTTCCTCTCTCACATCAATGTTTCTTGTCTGTCTGTCTCTCTCTCTCTCTCTCTGTCTCTCTCTCTCTTTATTTATAAGTAAGGCCCATGAGTCCATATTAATAGAATGAAAGAAAAGAAAGGTCATCTCTATCACAAAATAATAATTGCAGAAATGACAGAATTAGAAAAATCACCATTTGGCAGCCACCATAGTTTTGGGAGAATAATTTAATGAGAAACAGGATAGAGAGTATCAAAGTTTCTCCCCACAACATATTTATTAATTACAAAGAGGAAAACAATAGAACTTTACAGTGAGAAATCTGGCTGAGGCAGACACCACCTTAACCAAGATGTCAGAGTTAATCTCACCAGTTATGAGACATACAGACATTACTCGCTTCCTACCCAGATGCACTGAGGACTCAACATCACTTAACCTGAATCACATCACGAAGAAACCTGAGACAAACACAATGGAGGGCCAATCTACAGTCACTGGCCTGTCCTCACCAGATATGTCAAGGTCATGGAAGACAAAGCAATACTGACAATTATAAATACAGTGAGAAACCCTGGATTGGATCCCAGATGAGAGAAACTTTTTTTTTTTTTTTTTCTGGGAGGGGATAGTGTATGCACATGGAGGAGGTGTTTGGGACTGAGATTAGGAAACAAGATCTGGATAGACCCCATGGAGAGGATTCGGTTTCAGCTTGAAAAACGGTCCATTACCGCGAACCTCAGGTAGTTGTGTGGGAGCTGAGGTACCATCCACATCACTCTGGTCTCTGCCCAAATGTCACTCAGAGAGACCTTCTCCAGCCGCTCTATTCAGAAAAGCACTCCTGTCCCCATCTCTCGCTCCCTTACTTTTCTCCGCCTCATGTTTCTTTCTAGCAGGGATTGCTATTCTAGATCTTCTTACTGACACTCCCTCCTTCTAGGAAAGCTCTCTGAAGACACGTGCACTGTTGGTCTGAGTCCTTGTTATATACCCTGTTGTATATTCATGGCTTATAGTAGGCACTCAATAAATACCTGTTTAATGACAGCAAATCAATGGCTTCCCTTCACTCCCAAGATCTCTGCTGCTATCTGGGCTAATACATACTGACAACTTAACCAGTGACCAGCTCTAGGCCTCCATGAACCCTCACACAACCTTCTGGAATAGGCTTTTATCTCCTTTTACAGAGGAAGAACCTGAATTGCCCAGTCATACTTGTGACTGGCGCCCCCCAACCTGAGGCCCCACTGTTCCCTCCTGCCGAGCCATTACCACCACCACCACCACCACCACCACCACCCCCCGGGGGGACTTGCCAGCGCAGAACATGTTGTCGGTGATGCGGATGCGGGTGGAGGCCTTGCAGACCGGCCGCTCCACGATGGGCAGGTTCACCACCTGCAGGACACTGGGCTGCACCTCGGCCTGGCTGGCTGACCACGTCTCCTTCAGGTTGCCCCAGCCTGTCACCCGCCCTTTGTATCCAGCCTGGAGCAACCTTTGGGGAAGGCAGAGGGACCTGGTGAGAACTGACCCTCCAGGAGCCTCTGGCCCCAACACCAGCCCTTAGAGACCTGGATCTCAAACACCGGTGCACAAAGAGCCTTCAGGTTTGTTCCAAGAACTGAGGCCTGGGAAAGGGAAGGCTCTGCTGCAAGGCCTACCGGGGTCAGCCAGGCCCAGGGCCCCGCCCAGACTCCTCAGTTAACGGCCCCCCCACCCGCCCCCACCCCCCGGCTGCCTCACTTGGCTGCTGTCTGCTTGTCGGGCAGGCACACGGGGTGGATGTAGTTGCTGAAGGTGACGGGCTTCTTCAGCTTCAGCAGGGCGATGTCCCGGTCCAGAATGTCCCTCCAGTTGTACCTGGGGTGGATGTAGATCTTCTCCAGCATGGAGATCTTTTCCATGCCTCGCTCATACCTGTGTAAGCCCCAACAGAGAAACGGAGGAGCCGTAAGCCACTCACTCGGAGGCATTGGTTCCCTGAGGGAGGAAACTGTCTGCCCTCGAGGTCTGAGAGTCAGGAGTCCAGCAGACTGAGCTGCACAGGGCTTCACTGTCAAACGGCCCAGGCAGACGGGGAGGGACGCAGGCTGCAGGCTCTGGTCCAGAGAGCCTCTCTTCAAAGTCACACCTGGGCCATGGCCTGGTGTCTGGAGACAGGCCAGGGTTTTGCTCTCTGCAAAGTCTTAGTTCCTCTGACCTCAGCGTCAAGCCTAGGCCAGGATGTGGCAGGACGGACTCTGCATGCACCACAGACTGTTTTCCACGGCGGGAGGCAGACAGACATGCCCTGTGTGTCCCAGGGCACCGGAGCCCCTCACCATCACGTTGGAGGGCTGAGACCCCTGCAGACACTCCTGGGCCCCCAGTTGTGTACCTGGTGCGGGAATGCTTGCCGATGCGCACCAGAAGGTCGTTCTCGGTGAAGTTCTTGTCCCAGGGTGGGTACAGGACACAGTGGGCGGCGGTGAGGACCCAGCGGTCACTGATGAGGCTGGCTCCGCACAGCAGCTCCTGGGGGCTCTTACGGAAAAGCATCACCTGCCTGGGAGGGAGAATGGGGAGCTTGAGAGCCAGGGAGCTGCTCCTCCACTGGCTCCAGAAGCTCAAAGTCCCGTTTTTAAGAACTGGACAGAACTGCCTGCTGGGCCCAGGCCCCAGCTGGACCTGGTCACCTTTGGGGACAGGGGCATCCATGTGACAGTGAGGGGCTGCATCCTGCCTTGAGCACCCCTCTCCAGCTCCCTCCAGGCCAGAGCTGGGCAGTTTAGCCCAGCTCCGGGGTCAGGGCCTGCTATGGACTTGACCCCAGCTCTCCTGGCCCCAGACTGTCCATCAGCAGTGTCACTTTAAACTCCCTGGGCCCCAGCCATGCCTCCTGCGTATGGGAACTAATCAAGCCAATCTCCAAAGACTGCTGAGACTCAGGGAGGTGCTGGTGCTCAGTGCTCATCACCCATGAAGTCTGTGAGGGGAGAGGAGTCCCCCAGGGTGAGGGCAGAGGTGGGGGGGTTGCAGCCCAGGGAAGGCAGCTGGGCTTAGGGACCCACCAGGGCGCCAGGCCTATCTCCGCATCCCAGCCCTCCACGATGCGCCCGTCGATGTAGGACTCCAGAAGCTCCTGCTCCGTCTTGTCCTCCTGCGACTTCTTCTCAAACAGAGGCCGCAGCCCGCAGTCTGGGAGCAAGCCAGGTGGTGAGGGGCCGGGCGCAGACCCTGCCCCGCGGCCACGCACCCACCTGACCACGCTTCCGGCGGCCTCACCTGCCTCCCCGGCCCCGAAGGTCTTCTCGTTGAAGAAGGGCTGGAACTCCTCCTCGGTGGTGCGCCCCTCAACGGCCGAGCCCAGGTCCGGGGTCTGCCCATCGTCCGTCACCTCGTCCACCGGCTCCTCTGCAGAGACCCAGGCACCAGCTGGGACAGGACCCAGCCCCTCCTCACCCATCCCCGAGAACCTCCGGGGCCTCGTTATACTCAGCTGTGAGATGGGGGCTAACACCTATTCCCACCTGGGCGGGGGAAGGCTGTGATGAGCGTACTCACGTGCGCACGGGGTAACCCGTAAGTTAGGGAAGGCTGCTCTTGTTATTCCCTCCAGGCTCGGCGGCCTGTCTCAGGCCCCCAGCCCTGCCCTCTCACCACAGTAGTCCAGGTCGCAGTACTCGTAACCGCCATCCACGTAGCACCACGCGCCCTCCTGGTCCCCATCTGGGTTGCGACAGAAGTTCTCCACCAGCGGCACAGCCGGGCTGAAGACCTGGTCCTTTGTCCGGTCCTTGGCCTGCTTGCTGGCCCAGGGCAGGCAGGGGGACCCGTGTTGGGTCACCGCCAGGCGACCCTGGTATTGCTGGCCACGCTCAGGGACACACGGCGCAGATGGAGGTGACAGGTTTGCCGTGGAGACTCTGGAGCGTGGGGTCATCTCCACGGTGAAGCCCTCTTGGCCTGGTGAGCGAGGAGGAAGGGAGCAGAGACGGTGGGACCACAGGTGGAGCCAGACAGCCCAGAGCTGAATCCCTGCCTTGAGCCTTCTTCCTGCAAGACCTCTGGGAATGCCTCTCTGAGCCGCAGTGTGCCTGCCTATGAAAGGGGTACTGGTGCTGTTCTCGCAGGGTTGTTGAGATTTAAGCAAAATAAGTGCATCACAAGCCCGAGATGGTAACTACGTTTCGCCTCCTGTAACTATCACAGGGCGACCTGTAACCCACTGGTAGTGACTGCCTGGCGTTTTTAACGGATTCTGGGTTCTCTTAGGGGCACACAGGGAAATGTCGCTGGGAGGACTACGGATGTCTACACAGGGCAATGGGTCAGGCCCAGCATGCTTTCTCCACCTCTTGACCTTGACCTTGTGGTTGCTCTGGCCGATGGCACGCGGGCAGAACTGGCTGTGCCAGTCCTAAGCCTAGGCCTGAAGACACATTGTGTGTTTCTGCTCAGTTTTGTACACTCGGCCATCACCAAAGGAAGAGGATGCCCTTTAGCTTCTGCTCCAGAATGAGTGTGTGCGGAACAGACCCGCCCCTCACCCACGCAGAAGCCAAGCTCTGAAGCAAAACCACCAGCCGAGCCCAGGCTCCATCATGGACCCACAGGCACATGAGCAGGGAATAGGTGTTAGCCCCAGCCCCGCCTCAGACACATAAGAAACGAATGCGTATTGGTGTAAGCCCCTGAGCTCTGTGGTGGCTGCGATTGTGTGGGTCCTGCAGCATTATTGTGACTATAGCTAACTGCTGCCTGACGGGAAATAATAATGCTCAGAAAAGGGCATGTGAACAGAATGGTTGGGGGGGCAGAGGGGGGAGGGAGCAGTGCCCCGGGCAGGAAGGAAGGCATATCTGGAATGAGCTGCAGCCTGGGTCATAAGGAAGTGACGATGGGAAGGAGGAAGGAGGCTGGAAGCCCACTCTCTCTGGTCTCCTGACGTCCCTGACCAACAGGCCCTGGCCCCTGGGAGACCCCGGGCCTGGCCATGGACCGCCCAGTGGCCCCCCCGCTCACCACAGACAGGGATGCTGCACTCCTCCCTCCGCACAGTGGGGTCTGAAGTGTAGCACCACGGCCCGGTGGTGCTGCCATCCGGGTTGCGGCAGAAATTCTCCTGCAGGTCTGCTTCCGGGTGGGTGGTGGAGTTGATTCTGGAAAAGGATATCACACAGCTAGAGGCCGTGTGTCCTCCCCAAACACACACACACACACACACACACACACCACCACCACCACCACCACCACCACCACCACCACCACCACCTCTATCTCCTTGCTCCCCATTCTCCGCCCCCTGGCAGACAGGCCTGCCATCACTCACTCAGGCTTATGTGGGTAGCGACTCTGCCACAGCTGGCACTCGATGCCGGACCGGGTGACGCTCACGTTCCCTCTGTAGTTCGTACCCAGACCTTCGGCACAGTTACCTGCAGGATTTGTCCCCCCTCTCACTTAGCAAAGCTTGGCTATCCACCCCCTCCGAGCTCCTTCTGGCTCACAACCCTTGACCTGAATGTACTCAGCGCCTCCTCCGCACTCAGCAGTTGTCCAATCCATTTAACAGGAGTCACCAAATATTTACCAGTGCCCACCATGAGGCAACCCTCAACAGGCACTGTGCCAGGTATCAAGGGCACCGTGATGAATAAGTCAGTCCTAGTCAAGGCAGGTCCCGGCCCTCGTGGAGCTGACTGTATTCAGTGGCTCCTCGTGAACAGCAGGATGAACACATGACAAGGCCTAGTCAGGCCCTAGGCTGCCTGCCATGTCAGCTTAGCTCCTTGTGCCTCAGGGACTTCACACTGGCCATTTCCTTTGCCTGGGGACACCCTCTGGTTTACTCATCAGTGGATCCCACACGTCCTGGTAGGACTCTACTTCTCCTGGGGAGCTGCCCCTGAGCTTGTTGACAAACTAAAGGCTCCTTCTTCTGACATTCTCTCGGCACCTGTCACAGAATTTCTCCAGCCATCCCTCGGATGTTTCGTGTTCTTTTTCTGTGAAACTGTGCACTCCTGGATCTCCTAAAACCGCCATCACTCAACATAGCGCCTGGCACATCACATGTCTGTTGAATAAGTTATCTAACCACTGAAAGGATGGCCAGTAATTGGAGTTCCATGTTATGGAGCCTATGGTCACCCTAATAGTGTGTTATAAGGCTTCGCGAGGTGATGGCATTTAAACTAATCCTTGAAGGGTAGGGATGTGGTCAGGAGGTTGCCATGACTGCTCCAGGGGAAGACAATACTGTGAGCAAGGGCCAGGAAGTTGAATCATCTGGGCATGTTCGAGAAGTGCAGCGGGGGGGTCTGGGTTCATGGTCGGTGTGATGGGAGAGAAGGCGAAAGGGATGGTGAAGGCTAGAACCTGCAAACTTCGAGGCTAAGAAGCTGATGCTTTGAAGTAGAAGCAGAGGGGAGCCACTCCAGGTTTTGGAGAATGAATGTGACGTCATTAAAGCTCTGTCCTGGGGACATGGGATAGAGGAGCCCTGATGCGAATGAGACCTTAAGCGTTAATTCGTTATCCATTCACCCATTTGTTTCTCCGATATTAATCATGTTAATGACTGCCAGGCACAGGGCCAGGCACAAAGGTCCATCCTTGAACGCGGAGATGGAAAGGCAGTGTCAGGTGCGAGGGGCTGCCCTGCTGGGCCACCTCCTCACCCACCCCTACCCTGCTCTTCTCCCAGGCTGTCCCCCTGGGATCCGGTCCCGCCACCCCCACGTCAGGTCCTCACCTTCCATACACTTCACGAGCTTTTCTCGATTTTTCTTCACCGAGTCGCAAGCTGGAAAAGACCCAGAAAACACCTTTGGTATTTGAGTAGGGACAGGATGGGCTTAAGTCAAGGGCGGGAGAACATTCGGAAACAGAGAGACGGACGGCAGATGCATGGAAGGAAAGAGGCATGGGGGGGGAGGGGTGAACGGATGGACCAGATTCTCTAGAGCAGAATACTCTCTGACGAGGCCCAGCACTCCCTCCCTGAGGCAGGCCTTTCCCAGTGCTCACCTGTGTACTTGTCCCAGAACACCTTCTGAAAAACAAGGGCTGAGTGTGAGGCTGCGGCAGGACCCTTTTTGTTTTGTTTCTTAGTAGATGTTACGTCTCGTTATACTTTCCTTCTCCTCTTACCCCGGCCACACAGGGCAGGCTCTGGGAGGTCTATGGCAGTGTTCCCTACTTTTGTTCCCAAAAGCCCAAGCCCACCGAGAAGGCTATTTGAGGAGAGGGGAGCTCCCGCATCCCAACAAAGACAGGAAGGGATTGCCCTGGGAGGGTGGGTGGACAGGAGGAGAGGGGGCGTGGGGCCCAGGCAGAGCCCCAAAGGAGGGGAAGGTTGCAAGGGCTCCCAGCTTCACCAGAATCCCATACATCAAGGGTGGCAGAGTTAGCAGAAAAGCCAAAGCTTAGCGGCCATGGGGGCCTGGGGATCCAGAGGTCCCGACACAGTCATATGTCTGAGAACCGAGAGAGGCCCCTGAGGTTCTGGGACCTCCCTGGGCCCTGGTGTCTGGCCTCCAAGGAAAGGGAGGACTCTCATCGTGGCAGCCCAGTGACATGGGGCCCAGAGATGCAATGAGTTATCAGCAAAGACTGTGAGCTCCTTGTTCCCCTGATTTGTGGTCCTAGAGGGAGGCCCCCCCAAACCCCCGAGAGACCCCGCCCTCACCGTGGCGGTGGAAGACTCCAGGGCCTCGAAGGCCTCCTCGTAGCTGCACAGCTCCTCCATGCACTCCCGCTCCAGGTTGCCCTGGCGCAGCTCCTCCATGATGCCGCTGTTGGCCCGGCGGGCCCGCTGGAGCAGCGACAGCGCTTGCTGAGGGGCCAGGAACACTGCGGGAGGAGGTGGGACAGCGGCCTGAGGAAGCCCGGCTGACGTGGCCATCACGAGGGCAAGAAGCAAGCCCGGCTGGCCTGGCGTGGTGTCTTCCGAAAGCGGAGGTCCGAGATAGCGACAGGACCTCCCTCCTTTAACGGGTCCCCCCCAGCCCGCTCGCCATATTGGGAGAGAGAAGTAGGCCCAGCCAGCCAGTGCAGACTCCTTCCCTAAGCTGGATACCGTGGGCCGAGGCCCACCTGGACGCAGGCTCTGGGTTCCCTGTCGAGGAAGGGGACCCCCGCCCATGGGCCCATCTCCTAGCCCCCTGGCCTGTCCCAGCTTCCAAGCCCCCCTTACCATCCTGGCTGTGCACAAGGCCAAACAGGGCAGCCACGGCCAGGCAGCCAGGCAGCCACGGCCCTCGGACGTGCGGCATAGTGTGTCGGCTCCCGGGACTCTCGGGGCTCCTCCTGACCCTCTGGGTTAATGTTAAACCAACGTGGAGAAATCAGCTGTGAGGAAGAGGTCAGCGGGTCAGGGCTGTGAGGACGAGTGAATAGAGAGTCCACCCCACCTCCGGGGAGGACAGGTTTGGGAGGAAGTCACAAAGGAAAGACCCGTGTAACCACATCATCTGCCCTCCTTCCCTGAGGCATGGGCCAACGTGGGCCAGCAGGGTCTCAGGTCTTCCCAAGGCTCCTTCCAATGCTAACACGTGGTGGCAGTCACTTTAATCTCCAGGTGCCTCAGTTTCCTCATCTGTACACTGGGGGATAGTACTTTGATGTGAGGAGTAATGGAGATTATGAACTTAAACCCCATGAAATATAGTAAGTGCTTAATAATCTGTACATATATGGATGCAAACCCACAGGGATGCTTGTGTGATCACAAAACACAGAGGTAAGAAAAGAGACAAGGGTGTGATTAGATGATTATTGCCCACCTTGCCCCAGGACACACTGGGGGCAGAACAGCCAACGTTGGCCCAGCCACTCAGCCACTGATGGAGGGTCCCATCTCCCCTCCTGTCTGTCTGGAAAACTGGAAGAATGTTTGTGTATAGCGGTAGCTGGGATGTGGAGCCTGGGCCTCTAGGGTCCCTGCTCTATGTCTTCTCATCTCCCAGGACCTGCTGGGAGGGACCAGCCCAAATCCCTGAGTCTCCTGGTGCCTGTCTATGGGCCTGGGCCAGACTAGAACAACTGCTGGTTCTACACAGCCCCTCGCCCAGCCCTGTTCCCCTCCTCCCCCATTTCCTGTTTGTAGAATGCAAGGTAAATATTAGTCCTGCGTCTAATTAGGACAGGACAAAGAGCAGGAACACAGGGAGCACAGGTTTTTCCTTGTCCTCCTTGGGGCCTGGCTGGCCAGGGTCTGGACTACGATCACGTACTGTCTGGGAAGAGCACAGGGAAGGCCTGGTGCATGCAGGGAATGAGGAACTTTTGACATTGTGATGAACAAAAATATTTTGAAAGGAGGAAAATATTTTCTCAATTAAAATAATATTCCAGCCCTAGCCAGTTTGGCTCAGTGGATAAAGCGTCGGCCTGTGGACTGAAGAGTCCCGGGTTCAATTCCAGTCAAGGGCACGTACCTCGGTTGCAGGCTCCTCCCTGCCTGGGTCCTGGTCAGGGCATGTGCAGGAGACAACCAATTGATGTGTTTCTCTCACATCGATATTTCTCTGTCTTTCCCTCTCTTTTCCACTCTCTAAAATCAATGGGGAAATATCGTTGGGTGAGGATTAAAAACACACACACACGATATTCTAGTGACCCGTCTTTCCAGGAACAGTCACTGCCTTTTACTTCAGTGAGGAAAGCACTAAATTAGGAGTCAGAAGACGAAGGCCCTAACCTGGGTCTGCTATTTCTGGCCTCAGGCCTTGGCAAGTGACTGTCCTCGAGGCCTCCATTTCTCATCTGTGGCAAGAGCTTGAACAATGCTCTCTGATGCCCATTCTCACTTCACCATGAGTATTGGCAGAGCAGAGGCTCCCAAACCAGGTGCCTTCAAACTTGATTTGTTGCTCCACTTTTGCATTGGTTGGTGGATTCTTATGTGTGCCCTGACCAGGGATTAAACCTGCCACCATGGCGTATGGGAAAGATGCTCTAACCAGCTGAGCTCCCTGGCCAGGACCCAGTGTCTTGGCTTTGATTGAACCTGCTCTGCGTCATCAGGGATAGTGTTAACTGAGAGAGTTCTCCCTCTGTGTGGGGGATGTGGCAAAGGGGTGTAAGCATCCCAGTTTTGGACGGGAGGGTGGTTGTGGAATGTCAACAGGCCTCCCCAGAGACCCAAAACATCCCTGCGTCACTGCACAGCTCAAGCTCAAGCAATGAGTACATCCCCAGGAAACCTAACAACACTGGGCGTATGTCCCTGCCTGAAGCAAGAACTAGAAAAGATTAGCATCTACCGAGCCTAGTGCAGGCTCCAAGAGGCGGGGTTGGCTAACTAAAAATATTAACAACTGTTTCTTAGGCTTTGGGTGATGTGGCTTTTTTCTTCACAGATCACGATTTCCTGCTGTCCTCCTCCCAGCAGAAAATTTCAGGGTTGTGCTTTGCCAAGAACTTATTCAGATTGGGTGGGTGGCTGGGTTCATGTCAAGGGAAAGTGGGGGGACACGGGGCTGCTTCTGACACTGTGAGTGCTGGGAAGCTGGAGAACGAGCGGCATTTTAGTTCTGGCTTCGTCGTTCACTGGTGAAGGGGCTCAGGACAGGCCAAAAAAAACCAGCCTGACCCTCAGGGAGCTCCATGGGAGTGACTACCCCAGCACTAAGCAACCCATAGGGCGGAGGCTGCCAGCTACCTGACGACCTTCCTGGGCAGGTCACTTCTGAAATGCTTCAATAGGCACTTTGTGGAGTACCTAGAGAAAGATTCTGAACAAGCTCTATAAGCGGAGTTTGGGAAACAAGTTGGTGGTGGCCCATAAGTCCTTGACCTGCTTCTCCTAGCCAACTCTAATCTCTATCGGGCAACCCGAAGAGAAAAAAAGATCCAGACACCCAGCACCTAGAAAACACAGTCTTTATGTAGAGTCTGCTAAGGAAAGACGAGTGTCAGGTGCCTGTCTCCACCTCCACCACTTCCGCCCAGGGGCTGAAGCCCACATCCTTATGGATGAGCAGCAGGCTGGGGGCGGGGCCTGGTTCCTCTGGCACCACAAAGCACTTATCCTGGCTCTCAGAAATGGTGACCTCGAAGACGTGCTGGGTTGGGGAGATATTCTGCTCGTTGCATGTGTCCAGTACTTCTGGCTCAGTCTGTACTAAGACCACGGTGGGCTCAGCAGCAGCCGGAGGCCCACAGGGTGGGCTGGAGGATGCCCCGGGCTGGTGGCTGAGCTGGTGCCGCTTGAGGCTTTGGGGGAGGGTGTAGCCCATGCCACAGGTGGGGCAGCGGTAGGGCTTGTCAGCCAGGTGGGACTTGAGGTGGCGCCTCAGTTTGGTAGCCAGTGTGTACGCGCGGCCACACTGGGGGCACGGGAAGGGCCTCTCCCCCGAGTGCAGGCGCTCGTGAGCACGCAGCGTGTGTGGGTCTCGGAGGGCCTTCCCACACACGGGGCACAAGTGGGCCTCCCCGGTGTGGGAGATGAGGTGGCGCCTCAGTTCGGGAAGCTGGGGGAAAGCGTCAGCACAGTGCGGGCAGCGGTAAGGGCGCTCCCCTGTGTGCAGTCGCAGGTGCCCGCGTAGGTTGCCCTGCTGGCGGAATGCCCGGCCACAATGTGGGCACAGGAAGGGCTTCTCCCCCGTGTGGAGACGCATGTGGTTCCGCAGAGAGCCCTGGTTGGCCAGGGGCCGACCGCATACGGGGCACGGGCATGAGGCAGAAGCAGGTGGCACCTGGTGGGTCTTATGATGCAGTCTCAGGGATGGCCGGCGGGCGAAGGCCTTGCCACACTGGTCACAAGCAAAGGGCCGGGCACCCGAATGTACCACCTGGTGCTCTCTGAGGTCTCGCCGGGTGCCGTAGGCCTTGTCACACTGTGGGCAGGGAAAGGGCCGGACCCCGCGGTGGCCCAGCGTGTGGGCTTTGAAGCTCTCCTCTGAGCTGTAGCTCTTGCCACACTCAGTGCAAAGGAAGGGCTTGTGGCCCGTATGTACAAAGGCATGCTTCTTCAGGTGGCACAGTTGCAGGAACGTCTTGCCACATTCCCCACACCGGTACTGTCGCCCCCTTTTCGGGGAGCTTCCCGTCGGGACAGGAGGGCTCCCCAAGTGTGCAGAGAAGCTGGGGTGCTGCTCTCCGTTCTGCTGGGCCCTGGGCTCTGAGGTCTTGGCTCCGAGTGGACACTGATCACTGGGGCTGTGTAACTTCCTGACCAGGTGAGCATGCTGCTGGGTGCCACCAGCAGATGAGGAAGTGGCCTCACTGCTCTCTAGGCCCCGCTGGGGAGCAGAGCTGCTCTGAAGTTCACCTGGCATCTGTGTCTGGGGCGGGCCCTCCTCGTCCATGCTCCCATCCTGAGGCCATGGGCCACGTGATAGGCTCCCTTTGGAAAGTTGGTCCTGGGTTTGGGACTTAAGTCCACAGCTCACCATACTCTCCGCCTGGATGCTGGGGGGTGACTGGTACCCAAGATCTGCAAAGTAAGAGTGGAGTGACGAGGTCAATAGAGACTGTAGCAGATGGTGACAGCGGTATCACCAGGAAATTACAGAAATGTGCCGAAACCGGTTTGGCTCAGTGGATAGAGCATCGGTCTTTGGACTGAAAGGTCCCGGGTTCGATTCCAGTCAAGGGCATGTACCTTGGTTGCGGGCACATCCCCAGTAGGGGGCGTGCAAGAGGCAGCTGATCGATGACTCATCGATGTTTTTAACTATCTCTCTCCCTTCCTCTCTGTAAAAAATCAATAAAATATATATTTTTTAAAAATTACAGAAATGTGTCTTTTCCTATTCAGCCCTGGACTTCAGTAGGAGCAATGACATTAATCTTTTCCCTGGCGCATGAGCCCATACTCCATTTATCTTCCTGTCCAGTTGCAGGTGCTTACTGGGGAAACCAGTGCCCCAAACACCTGGATAATCCCTAGAGTAAGGCCATCTCAGAGTCCCCTTGTTCTGCCTCTGGAGACATGAACTTATCACGGTAAGCTGAGACCACTTCCTCCTCACCTTACCTCATTTGAAAATAAAGCAACCAATCCCCACCCCAGATAGAAGAACCGTAATGAACTGAAAGCTGTCTTCATCAACATGATCTTACTATTCCCAGAAACCTATTCAGGAAGATAAAAATCACAAATATTTTTAAGGTTGATTCCAAGGAAAAGACTCATCACTTCAATAAAAAGCATCAAATGACAGTTTATACCCTAAGACTCTAAACCTCTTGCCTGAAAATTCTAGCCTTCCTGTGTCCATGAATCCTAAACTACTATTACGTGATGCTCCTTAACCAATCCATACCA